CTACAACTTAAGCCACACCCCAAACCCTACAGTTTAATTTTAAATAGATCTTTTACAGACAAACTAACATAAGAGACTATGCCAACAATATGTGAACAAAACATATTTTTCTTTTAAAAAAGAGGGTTTTAAAAAATTTACAAAAAATACACATTTCAACTATCTTGCCCATGTAATTGTAACCCCTCTGTATGGTATTTTCACAATTAAAAAAAATACACATTTCAAACATGACAGGAGACAAATGAATATTCCTGAGAGAAAAGCATAAAAGAAAATGCTTTTGGGCTTCTCCTTCCACAGAGTTATATTAACTTATTTGATAATAGGTCATTCTTTTCAAGACATTTTTTTTGATAAATAGTTTAAGAGCATTTACTAGCTGTAGAACTTGATCATTGTTTTTATCATTATTATTTTTACCAGATGATGAAGACACTATCACATACATATCCCAGAGTATTCATTAGGGTTACAGGTGCTAAACTATGCAGCCAGTTCACAATGTTTGTCAAATATTAAGTGCTCAAATATTAGCTCTTATCATTATTAGTATTAAAGTAAACCAGGTTGAGCGATTTAAAATCAAAGTCAAGGAAGAGGCATTCTGATTTGTATTTTACAAAGTACTTCCTTGTTTATCTGATTTACAGGGACCCTTTCCCTACTGGACAGGTAACAGCCATCTCTAATCATCCCTTCCCTCCCTCCATTCCTTCCTTCTTCCCTCCCTCCCTCCCTCCCTCCCTCCCTCCCTCCCTCCCTCCCTCCCTCCCTCCCTCCCTCCCTCCCTTCCTTCCTTCCTCCCTTCCTTCCTTCCTTCCTTCCTTCCTCCTTTGTCTGAGCCTCCCAGGTTGAGGGTAAGTAGAGTTTCCAGTTCTTCTTGAAAAGATTCAAAGAAGGGCAAGGAACTTAGGTAATATCCAAATATTTACTGTTTGATTTTTATCTTGATTAGAAAACAAAAGTGCTTTGTTCAAAGGCTTCTGATTGATATCTATCCTTTGCACTTTTGTACCTTTCCCTCATGGCCTTATGAAAAGGATCTATTAATTAACCTGCATTCCCGTAGAAAGAAGTGAACTTTCTATGAACTCTTAAGAATTCTCCAAAAACGGGTGGTCAGGCTGGCAAGAGAAGCAGCATTATAATCTCATATTCCTGCTGTCTAGGTAATTATTGTGTGTTCTTTCTGATGGTCTTTTTCCTTCCTCCTCCCTCTCCTCTATCTCTACTTTAGTCCTCTTCTTCCCTCCCCTCCTCTTTCCTTCTCATCACTTTTCTTCCTTCACTCCTTTCCTTTCTTTTTATAGAGAAGATCTCAACTTGTTTACCAGCACAGGCTGCCCTCAGATGGATGATCTTTAAGCCTCTGCCTCGTGAGTGCTGAGATTACAGGCATGTACCACCATTTACCATGTGTGTCTGTCTTTTTGGGTATGCATCTACTTATAATTGTGATAATTAAATAGTGTTTCTGCTTAATTAGGCTGTTGGTATCACTGGAATGTCTGTGTCTAGCTACAATAGAGTGCTTTTGATACTAGGTCACAGAAAATGATTAGCCTAGGAAATAAAGAGAATACTCACTCATGTATGTCATTGTATTGGTATATGCTATATGAGTTTAAGCCAACATTTTGAAGCACACGTTTGGGTTTATTTGAGGTATCAAGTTTTACTTTTGCCTAAAATGTTCAGACAAATGAGTCGTGTTTTCCACATCATTTTACTTTCTGATGGTAGTTTTAATCTTAGAACTTTGTGCCATTAATCAACCTCTCCTGGCTCTGTTTCTCTCTACCCTTCCTAGCCTATGGTGGCCAGTATTGTGCTTTCTACTTCTATAAGATGAATTTTCATAGATTCCATATATGAGGGAGAACATGTGGTATTTATCCATCTGTGGCTGACATTTCACTGAACAGATAGGAGGAACAATTGATTTTCTGTTACAGGAGGACTACATTAGGGTGACTGTAACAGAGCAACAATTATACATTTTATATTTTGAAATAGGTACAAGGGAAGATTTTGAATGCTTTCATCACAAAGAAATGATAAATATTGGAGCCGATGGATATACTAATTCCCTGATGGGTCATTATACAATTGATTGAAACACTATAATGTGCCTCACGAATATGTACAATTATCATGTATCAATTAAAAATAAACACTTAAAATTCTTCATTCTAGTGGATAGAGAGCATTCTAAGTAACTGAAGTTGTTTATAGACTAAGATTCTATCACAGGTAAGCTAAAAAGTGAATAAACCCGGGGCTGGGAAGTTGGCTCAGTGGTAGAGCGCTTGCCTTGCATGCCTGAGACCCTGGGTTCGATTCCTCAGCACTACATAAGCAAAAAGAAAAAAGCCGGAAGTGGTGCTGTGGCTCAAGTGGTAGAGCGCTAGTCTTGAGCTGAAGAGCTGAGGGACAGCGCTCAGGCCCAGAGTTCAGGCCCCACGACTGGACCCCCCCCCCCCCCCCAAAAAAAAAGTGAATAAACCTAAGAAAGAATAAGGTCAGCCACTTGCGAATTCCCTTTCTGTTTTCAGAGATGTTTCTATTTGTCTTCAATCACCAGTTAATAATAATGATGTCTCAAACGTCCCTGTGGCCAATGAAAGCTAAGCTCATCTTAATGGCTCCCTCTCATTTGCTATCTGATTCTATTGCATACTATTGTCTGTAATTTCCTTTTGCTAGTATGAATAAAAGAAAACCTTAACGGTACATTTTGTTAAAAGTTGGAACAATTAAAATGTGCTAACGCAAAAGCAATGTCTCAAATAGAGACTGTTGTGGGGAAAATTATCCCTAATAATAGCAGCTTGCAAAAATGAGGACTATTTTTCAGGTTCAAGATAGTTTTAGGAAAAAAAAATGCAATGTACTGTGAGTGTTCATGAATATCTAGCAAAAGAAGAAAGAGATGTGAAAGTAGTATGTGTCAGGTTCCACTAAACCAGTAAGAATATGTGACCTGTATACATAGGGAAAGTAATTTAATATAGAGCAAAGGCAGCCCTGAGTTCTTTGGATGAGTGGTGCATCCTTTCAAGAATAGGTTGATCTGCATTAGTTTTTACATGAAAGTGTGTTTGCTCCACTATAAGAACGAAACCAATAGTAAAAGAAAACTAATTAATATGAGATCATTAAAAGTGTAGTCAGCAGCTTCTTTGTGTAACAATCTGGCATATTATACTTCAACACCCTCACTGCACTTCACCAGGAGCAAATCCCATCTTCCTGTCCCTGAGTCCTTGAGAGGGCAGTGGAGCCTAGAGCTTATGCCCAGAGAGCTGCAGTTAGAAGAGGCCTAGTTTTCATGAAGAAGACTCATGGAGCCCAAAGAGAGGGTATAAATTACCTCTGTGCAGTTTTTCCTCACTGCTTTGGATAATCTCCCAGAGGCCTCTGTGGGAGGCCTCTGGCTAAAGCCAGATTCTCCTCAGATTCTAAGTGGAAAAACACAGGACAGACATCCTTCATGGCTCCAGCCCTCCCCTGTTGGGCGTGTTAGATTTTAGCAAAAAGTACAAATACTTCAAATACTTCAAAAGAAAAAGTATTTCCTGAGATGGGAAGGAATCATTGCCAGGGGATTGAAAACCCCCCAACAATGCCAAAAAAAAAAAAAAAAACAAAACTACAAGTAAGCATTTAACATATGGTATTCAACAGCTTTGTAAAAGAAAATCAAATTTGGCCACCAGGTTAGAATATGCTCCTACTAGGTTCAAGATGGCTACACAAATGACAAAGGGAAATTGTTACTGAAGAAAAATACATCCCCCAAAATGTCCCCAGCAAGTTCCAGAATCAACTCAGACGTCAGACAATCTGTCAGAGCAAAAATTACAGCATTCCCTCTTAGTTGATCTAATTTGGAGGTCACACAGTGAAATAATACATTACTAGCCTTCTGGAGATAACATACTTGATGTGTGGGCTATGATCATAGTGGCTGAGGTTACTTCGCAGGAATTGAAAGTCTGCTTTTGCTAAAAACACGGATTCATTGTAGCTACTTGATGGATGACTAAAACAGAACAAAAAGCTTGGCATCTCTGTCTATACTGTGTCTGCTTCCTTTTTGCTTCAGCCTTTCCGTCTACTTACTTCTGCATGTAGACATTTTAGTCATTTGAGAAATGTTTCACTCAAAACTCTAATAGAGGGTTCAGTTATATACCAACCCTTGGGCTTTCTCATAGTTCAGTGATAAGGGTAAGCCTGGTTAAAATGAAAGAATTTTTCTTCTTGAAACCCAACTGTTTACTTCCATAGTTATACAGAGCTCAAGGCTATATTACTACCCAGGTTCCAATGTCATGGAAACGAGTGAAGCTAGTTAAGCTTCACTAGTTAAGCTCTTCTGTGTGTGTTGGTACCTAAAAAGTCTACTGATAACAACACAATTTAACAGCAAAAATCTAAACACAAATTGGAGGGAAAAAGAGATGCTAAGTATATGTATATGATCAAAGATTTTTTTTTAAACAATGAAATCAATTTGTTTTTGTGTTATAAAGATAAACATTCAATCAACATCATGGGGACGTGGCATGCATCTCTTCTTTCTTATTTTCTCATGGATCTTTTGGGAGAGTCATTTGGAGGTTATCTTGGAATTTAAAAAGCCATCCAACCCTGTGATTCACAAGAAGCTCTCTGGTTCTTTGGGGGTCACTAAGAGCCTTCTTAGTGAGAGTAAAGGTTGGCTGGAATCAACGCAGCTGCCCCTCCCTGACGGTACTGTACTTTCCTGACCCCGGTGATGGCGATGGACAGGGAAGGTGGTGTGTGCGCGTAGCTAGAGATGAGAACAGGCGCATGTAGGGAAACGATGCGCACCCTAGTCATGGGTGGTATCTGTTACCAGTAACTCAGTGTGAAGCCAGCAAGGGCCCGGTGTTTTGAGGATGGTTGCGCAGAGCTCGCGCTGCGCCAGGCAGGCCCCGCGCTGCTCCCGCCCGGGCGGGCTCACTCACCGGTGCTGCTCTGGATGGTCCTCACCGTGGTGGTGGTGCGCGGCGGGGAGGATGAGCGCAGGGACACGCATTCGTCGTCCTGGGAACAGCCCTTCTCGATGGCCCGCACGTAGCTGTGGCTGCGCATGCGGAAGCAGCCGGGCATGGGCAGATCCAGGGCTTCCACCGCCTGCGACTCCAGCTCGCTGAACACCGACTCACACACGGACTCAAACTGCCCGTTCACCTCCATCTCGCTCACCTGCGGACCAACACGGCCAACGCCTTGCGGTTAGTTGTCAGTTCCCAGAAGGACAGGCAGCCTCCGATCCCATGAAACCCCAAGCCCCTTATTTCCTTTATGTGCCCGATGAGAACGGGAATGGTATGGAGCTAAAGATGCCGTGAAACTTACTGGGGCTTGGACCCAGGGCTGGGGGCCCTGCCACTGAGCTTCTCACGCAAGCCTGAGGCTCTACCATTTGAACCACAGCTCCACTTCCAACCTTTTGATGATTAATTGGAGATGAGTCTCATGGACTTTCCATCTTCAGATCTCAGCCTGAATTGGCCAGGATTACAGGTGGGAGCCACCAGCACCTGGCTACTTATTACATCTTTTTTTTTTGTCTGTCCTGGGGCCTGATCTCTGGGCCTGGGCGCTGTCCCTCAGCTCTTCAGCTCAAGGCTAGTGCTCTACCACTTGACCCACAGCGCCACTTCTGGCTTTTTTTGCTTATGTGGTGCTGAGGAATTGAACCCAGGGCCTCATGCATGCAAGACAAGCGCTCTACCACTGAGCCACCTTCTCAGCTCACTAATTACATCTTAAAGGAAGAGAGCTTTGTCTTCGAATGCAATGAAATAGAGAACAGGAAACCCTATTGCAATGTGTGCTCCAGGATGAAAGATGAAAACTTTCTTTTATATCTCCTTTTATACCTCCTCTTCCTCCACTTCCTCCTCCCTCTTCTCCTCCTCCTCCTCTTCCTTTTCCTCTTCCCTCTCCTCCCTCCTCCTCTTCTTTTTCCTCTTCCTCTTCTCCTTCTTCTTACCTGCTACTGGAGTTGGAACCCAAGGCCTCATGCATATTAGGCAAATGCTCTATCCTTAAGATACAACCTAGGCTCTCTCTATTTTTAAACAGGAATTTTATCAATTCATGATCTGAGTAGCTCATATATTCAAGATAATTTGTTTTCAGCAGATAGTATCTTAAAACTAGTGGTTTTATGTGTTTAAAATTTTTATTGTAAAGGTGATGTACAGAGGGTTTATAGTTATATGATACTTTTTTAAAAATGACTAGTTTGTTAAGTAGTGTCAATGTTGACGGATGCTCCATTGTGGAGTGTGGAAACATACTCTATTTTCTGGCAAGATACATTCTGTTCAAAAATAAACTAAAGGGCTGGGACTAAGCCTTAGCGGTAGAGTGCTTGCTTTGCATGCATGAAGCTCTGGGTCCAATTCCTCAGTACCAGTAAACAGAAAAAACCAGAAGTGGCGCTGTGGCTGAAGTGGTAGAGTGTTAGCCTTGAGCAAAAGAAGCCCTGGGACTCAGTACCCAGGCCCTGAGTTCAAGCCCCAAGACTGGCAAAGAAAAACAACAACAATAAAACAACAACAAAAACCAACCTCCCTCTGCCCCCTGCCAAACCCAAGCATGTCAAAATCTTAAAAAGCATTATCAAGATTGTTTTCAAAGCTATTTAGTTTTTTCTCTTCTTTATAAAAAGCTAATATGGACCACAAATTGAGTGAGTTTAGAAAAATCTTTGTAATGGAGCCCTATGTGTGTGTGCACACGCATGTGTGTGTATGTGATCAGTTTTCATTGATTTATTTTCTTCTGTATATAATTCACAATGGGTCACAGCATTCTGGATATACTCAAATTAGTATCTCTCTTTATATAGTTAAGTCCCTAAAGAGTTGGAAGAAATTTGAATTTTCTGTTATCTTCTGGGACTTTTTAATCTCTATTTTTCCTAATATTTAATTCATGAGTAATAGAGACTTTAATGGATTAAATTAGAATCAAATTTAGAATGTGTACCTAAATTATGACTTTTTTACTGTCTCATCTTGTGATATATAAAGATTACTCACTCCAGTAAACCTTCAAAAATTGACTAATTGCCCTTTATATAAATGAAAAGAAACTTGCATTTTAAAATAGCCTTTACATTAAAGAATAGTATTTTACTTCCTTTATCTAATTTGATATAATCTGCACATTTTCAAAGCAAATAACCATATGCATCTGTATTAATCTATATAGTTCTATTAGCTGGATGCTGATGCCTCATGTCATAAACCTAGCTATTTAGGAGGCTGAGATCACAAGGATTGTGGTTCTAGGTTAACCCTGGCAGAAAAATCTGCTAAATTCTACCTCCAAATAAACCAGCAAAGGAATGGACTGGCAAGGCTCAAGTAGCACAGCACCAGCCAAGCAAAGCAAGGATATAGTTTAAGCCCCAACACACACACACACACACACACACATACACACACACACACACACACACACACACACACACCCGTATGTTTATTAGGAATTATATGGACATACATTTAGACGTACAGATACAAGGTATGGACAAGTCATGTCAAATGGAATGAAGGAAAAGAAATAGTGGAGGAAACCTTAACAAGGAATGTGAATCTGAGTTAAAGATTTCATCATAAGTGATTCTTTTTGTAAAGTAAATTATACAGTATAGGTACGCACACATCATTTATTCGATTTTCTCCTTTTGATTGACATGCAAATATTGTGAGGAACTAGTAAAATGTTTATCCCTGTCTGGATTACTAATGTTAAACCTGAGGCTATGTATAACCTCCTTGATTTCATTTTTATAAACCTTAAATCTTAAGTGTAATTCTGAAAGTTGTTTGCTTTTCACTTACTAATCTAGGTTAAACATATTCTTAACAGGATTGTTCTTATACAGCTATAGAAAACCAAATGAGACAAATCTTTAACTTAACAAATCCCAGTAAGAAAAATGCCAGTGAAAACACCATCAGGATCAATAAGTAGAAAATTTTCAGGCACCCCTAGTAGCCATTTCCATGACCATCTTAATCACAACTCTCATCTCCAATAGTAAGTGCTATCTCTACAATTTATTCCAAACTCCACTGCATTTTTCATAGTTTTAAAAAATCATTCAAATATGCATAAGATTAGTCTTATCCAGTCTGATATCCTTTAATGTACTCTTTTTTTTTTTTGTCGGTAGTGGGTCTTGAACTCTGGGCCTGGGCACTGTCCCTAAGCTCTTCAGCTCAAGACTGGTGCTCTACCACTTGAACCATAGCGTCACTTACAGTTTTCTGGTGGTTAATTGGATATAGTCTCACGGGCATTCCTGCCTGGGCTGGCTTTGAACTGTGATCCTCAGATCTCAGCCTCCTGAATAGCTAGGATTACAGGGGTGAGCCATTGGTACCTGTCCTTTAATATACTTTCTTTCTCCCTTTCTTGCTCCCTCCTTCTCTCTTCTTCCCTTCCTCCACTTTTTCCTTCCTATGTTTTTGAGATAGAGTCTTTTTGTTCAGGCTTTCCTCAAATTTTCACTCCTCTTACTGCAACCTCCTGCATGCTCAGATCACAAGTGTGTACCCTTAGGCCCCCAAACAAACATTTCTTCATATTGCATTTAAAATTTTGAGGAATCTGGATCACTTGGCCCCCAGAGCCTCCCACAGTTTATATTTTGTTGACTTCATACTAATGGTAAAACTTGATAAGTGCTTCTATTTTTCATGTTTCTTGAAAGCTTTAAGTTGTGTTTTTAACCTGACATGACTCAGGTTCAATCCTTCTAGCATGACTAGAGGTCATGTGTGTTTTTCATCAAATGTGTGTTTTTATGTTCAAATCTGTTCATTCATTGAGGGTAGAAAAATGGCAATATTTAATCTTACAACTTTTACAATTACTAGTGGGAATATTTTAATAAATGTTTTCTCTTTTACTTTATCTGGTAGTTTAGTTCATATAGAAATGGAAGAATTAAAGGTTTATTTATATTCTTTTCAGTTAAATTTTTTGAGATAATAAATTTATTCTCTTTTATCTTCAACTAATTTTTTCTTTTGCCAGTCCTAGGGCTTGAACTTGGGCCTGGGTTCTGTCCCTGAGCTTTTTATTCTCAAGGCTAGTGCCCTACCACTTGAGCTACAGTGCCACTTCTGGCTTTTTCTGAGTAGTTTATTGGTGAGAAGAGTCTCATGGCCTTTCCTTCCTGGGCTGCTGGCTTTGGATGGGTGATCCTTAGATCTCAGCCTCCTCAGTAGCTACAATTACAGGTATGAGCCACTGGTACCCAGCTTTTTCAACTAATTTTTTAAAGATACAAAAATAAATTTAAAATAGTTTTTGATCCTTGTTATGGTCTGGATAAGTGTCTCCAAAGGCCCTCGTGTTAAAGGTTTGGTCACCAGTCATGGTGCTACTAGAAGTTGGTAGACCCTTTAAGAGGCGTGGAGTAAGTGGAAGGAAGGAGTGAAAAGGGATACAATATTGGGTCTTCACTTCTTTCTAGTCAACCATGAGGTGAGCAGCTTCTTCTGCCACATGCAAACCACATGATATTTCTCCTCCCTACAGGCCTCAAAGCAACAGGTCTATTGGCTGTGGACTGGAACTGAAACTGTGAGCCAAAATAAGCCTTTCTTCCTTTAAGTTGTTTATCTCAGGTATTTGTTAAAGCAGTGGAAAACGGATGACCACGATGGTTTTAAATCCAGTTCAACTATTACTCTAAATGAACTCAAATTTGTCCTATATTTGCCAGTGGAAGCCTCTTAAATTGGCTATTGAATCTTCTTGACATGAAATTAGTAGTCTTGAATAGTATTCTTGATACCATACACATATTCACTCCCCTCCTTTGTTTTGCTGTTCCCTCCTCACCTCTCTTCCAGACACATATGTTTTTATTAAATTTCATTTTTAGTATCTTTTGTTGTTTTGTGTTACTGTTCAGGTTTTGAATCCATTTGCTCTTATTTTTACACAGAATGAGTGGGAATTTAATATTATATGTATTGTATAATAAAAAATTTGCTTAACCTTTCACAGCTACACTTTCCTAATCTGTACACTTTCCTAATCTGTACAATAGTAGCTACCTCATAGACATACTGTAAGAACAAAAACTAATGATGTAACAATGTATTTGTGACTTTAAGCATCACTATCCCACAATACTGTGAAATTTGTGAAATTATGTCATCACTTAATCACAATAAAGAATTTGCAAAAAAAAGAAAGGGACAAAAGGCACAGAAAACAAAAAGTGACAAAGGAGAAAAGAAAATAAAAACAAACGAATTAACAAAAAAACCCATTTGTTTCCATTTCTTGGAGTTCATTTAGATAAATATCATTTTATATGATCATATGCACAAAAATGTATTCATAGACTGGTGGTAGGCACTGAGTGTGAAAGATGGAGACACACAAGCCAAAATTATACCAGAATGAGGCTCCAACTCTTTCCTGGGGTTGGATGATGGGTATCACTGGAAAACACTAAGGTCGGTAGGTATGCATGGGTATGGAGATTCTTTTGTAGGAAATATATGACAGCTTGGAATACTTGTTAAAATGTGAGTTCCCAGACCCTATTCTTAGCAGCTCTCTCTTTATAGTCTTGGATCCACACTGTTTTTTGGTATGTAAATTTTGGATCTTGTTGACAACTGTCATCACAGGGAAGTTCCACTTAACATCTGGCTACTTATACCTTACAAGTGTTGTAAGAGTTAGTAGTAAGAGCTGGTAGTAGAGCAGTTGGCCAAGTAACTGACCAATGAGTTACTAATGCTGGATGTTACAGTTAATTCAGAGTGTTTTTGTGATGGTCATGTATTCAGTGCCCATATTGAATCTTTACGCTCAGTTGTGTGAACCAGTTCTATTTATTTACTTATTTATTTATTTATTTACATATATATATATATATATATATATATATATATATATATATATATATATTTTGGGGGTCCAGTCATAGGGCCTGAACTCTAGGCCTGGGCACTGTCCCTCATCTCTTCGGCTCAAGCCTAGCGCTCTACCACTTGAGCCACAGCGCCACTTCTGACTTTTTTCTTTTTGTTTATGTGGTGCTGAGGAATGGAACGCAGGGCCTCAGGCATCCAAGGCAAACACTCTACCACTGAGCCACCTTCCCAGCCCATATTTATTTACTTTTTTTTTTTTTTTAGCATTATTTCCTTTCTTCTTTATTTTATAGGAACATATTTTTTTTTTTTTTAAATACACAAAACATGGCCAGGAGACTAATTTCTGGATATATGAAGTTGAAATTGTTTCGGTTTACTAGTTAACATTTGTGGCCAGGTGCAGTGGCTCATTTTTTCTTTTTTTAATTAAAAAGATTTTATTGGCCGGGCGCTGGTGGCTCACGCCTGTAATCCTAGCTACTCAGGAGGCTGAGATCTGAGGATCGCGGTTCAAAGTCAGCCCGGGCAAGAGAGACTGTGAGACTCCTATCTCCAATAAACCACCAGAAAACCGGAAGTGGCGCTGTAGCTCAAGTGGTAGAGCGCTCGCCTTGAGCTGAAGAGCTGAGGGACAGCGCCCAGGCCCAGAGTTCAAGCCCCATGACCGACAAAAAAAAAAAAAAAGATTTTATTGTAAAGGTGATGCACATAGGGGCTACAGTTTCACATCTGATAATGAGTATGTTTTTTTGAACAGTTTTTCCTTTTCTCCCCCTCCCGTCCCCTCTCTCAAGCTGGAAAGTTCATTTCCAACCTAGTGTCTAGTAAATACCACTGCGAATTGGTTCACGCTTTGTCCCACTGTTTCTGTGCTTCCCCTTCCTCTCCCCAAATTGGATAAACTTACATACAAGATAAAGTGTACAAAAACCAAAAACAGTGACAGAAGGAATACATCAAAGAAAAAAGAAAAACAAAGGAACTGCAAACAGTACAGTAGTAACAATTTTAAAAACACTCTTGCGGGGCTGGGAAGGTGGCTCAGTGGTTGAGTTCTTGCCTTGCATGCATGAGCCCCTGGGTTCAATTCCTCAGCACCACATAAGCAGAAAAAGCTGGAAGTGGCTCTGTGGCTCGAGTGGTAGAGCACTCATCTTGAGCTAAAGAGCTGAGGGACAGTGCCCAGGCCTAGAGTTCAGGACCCACGACCAACAACAACAACACACACACACACACACACACACACACACACACACACACACACACACACACACACACACACCCCTAAAAAAACAAAAACCAATCTTGCTTCAATTTTTTGGAGTTCATTTTGATAAGCATCATTTTATATGATCATATCCACATAGCTATTTATCCCTTGCGATCCTCTCCTAAGGATATCTGCTTTTACTCTTACTGTGTGAATGGTTAGATTGCTGTTTAATTAATCATTTCCAGTGTAATTATTTGTCTTTTACTGTCCATTGGGTTTACTTGTAGATTTAGAGGCACATTCTAATTATTACAAATGAGAGAAATCAAGCAGCCTATGTTTCTTTGGGCCTAGCTTACTTAGTATAATTTTATCCAAGTTTTTCCATTTCCTAACAAATGTAGCAATGCTGTTCTTTCTGATGGAAGCACAGAATTCCATTGTGTATATTTACCACATTTTCTTGATCCATTCATCTGTTGAGGGGCATCTGGGTTGGTTCCATACCTTAGCTGTAGTAAATAATGCAGCAATAAACATGGTTGTGGTGGTGGTTCTAGTGTAGCTTGGTTTGTGGTCAATTAGATAGATGCCCAGGAATGGGATTGCTGGGACATAGGGAAGGTCTATGTTTAGTTCTTTTGAGGAGCCTCCATACTGCTTCCAAGGGTGGTTGAACACGTTTACATTCCTACCAATAGTATAGTAATATTTCCTTTTAACCACATCCCTGCCAGCATCAGTTATTGTTAATTTTCTTGATATTGGCATTATCACTGGGTGAGGTGGAATCTCAGTGTTGTTTTGATTTGCATTTCTTTTTTGGCCAGTGATCTCAAACATTTCTTCATGTGTCTATTGGCCATTGTTATTTCTTCTTCGGAGAAATCTCTCTTTAAGTCTTCAGCTCATTGATTAATTGGGTTGGCTTTTTGAGGATTTGTTTTTTTTGGGTTTACCTTTTTGAGCTCTAAGCATATTTTAGATATGAGGCCCTTGTCTGCATAGCTAGTAAAGATATTTTCCTATTCTGTGGGCTTTCTGCTTATCTTGCTAGCTGTGTCCTTTGCCATGCAGAAACTCTTCAGTTTAATGTAATCCCTTTTATCTGGTCTTTGATTTGTTGTGATTCAGGATCTTTACTTAGAAAGTGTGAACCAGTTTTTAACAGTAAGATTCTACTTCTTTACCAATATGTACCATTCCTTAGGATCCATTTTACCCAAGTCCTGCTTTGTTAACTTGCCTAATACTCTATAACTTTTATAATTAGACACTGCCTTGCAATCTATATTGTGCATTTATCTTCTAAGCATCTTTATAACTGATCCCTCATCCATCAACTTCCTGACCAATTTGCTGGTTCCAATTGCTGATGACTTTCCAAGGATCCTCACGTTGTGCCTCCTCCATCTGCAGAGGGCACTTCCCCTGGTAGGAGCATGCTGTGGCTGAACACGTGGTACACCCCTTGCAGGACCGGATTGAGTCTAGTCCATCAGTGATTTACCTGGGGATTGGCAACCTACCCACTTTTCCAATCTCAGTTTTCACTAAGCCCCTGTATTTACTAACTCATGGCCACAGTTGATCTGGTGGTGATTACCTGGCTAATGGTGCTCATGGCTCGCATGTAGCTCTCATTCCTGGAGCGGAACTTCGGTGACGTGAGCAAGCCTGCAGGGTCAAGGCTGTCCAGACTTCGGTTGATAGAGACTTCACTTACTGCCCTCAGGTAACTGTGACTCCGGATCTGGAGTTTGGGTGAGTGTTCATTGGAGATCCTGGAAGAGAACAATGGAAAGTCATGTAGTCATATTCCAAAATGTAGGCAGTAATAAGATGTGGCACTATTGTCATTAATGAAGCACCTAAATACCAAGGCAGATAATAGAGATGTCCCAATAGTATTTCAGAGAAATATATTTTTTTAGGTTTGCATTTTGTTTTCCTTCTTAAATTTTAATTAAAAAAATTTAAATTGACATAGTAATTGTACATGTTCTTGGGGTATAGTGTAATATTCCAATGCATATATACAAAGTGTAAATGCCAAGGATGCATGATCCATCATCTCAGACCTCTCTTTTCAATTTGTCTTGATTAAAAAGAATATATTACCACTACTACTACTACTACTACTACTACTACTACTACTACTACTACTACTACAGGCTCTTGCCTGTAATCATGTTTACTCAGGAGGCTGAGATCTGAGGATCAAGGTTCAAAGCCAATCCAGGCAGATAAATCTGAAAGACTTATTTCCAATTAACCAGCAGAATGTTGAATTGGAGACGTGGCTAAAGTAGTGCCAGCTTTGAGTGAAAAAGCTAAACAGGGGTGGGAGGCCTTGAATACAAGTCCCACTTACCTTCCTCCTACACATACACAAGGAAAAAAAAGATAAAGGTATTCTATAAAACCCAGAGAGTTCACTTTGTTTCATTTAAAAATGAACTCAATTTGACTGTGGTCATGACACTTATAAAAATCATGCTCCTAAACATTTATAGCTAAAACTAAAAGGCTTTGATTCTTGGGCTTCAATGTAGAAAATAGTACTTTGGTCAGGGACAGAACTCAGTTGTTAGTTTTAGTGATTCAATCACAATGTGTTTTATTAATCATCTTCTAACTTTTTTTTTTTTACAACATCCTGCTGTACATACCTTTCTAAACATGTAACTTTATTTTTCTCCAAATATTTCTTTATTGAGGTTAAGTGATTACATAAATTTCAAAGTACAAAGTGGCACAGTTATCCTTAGCTAAAGTCACAAATACATTTTAACTTTCACAATGAAAATCATCATTATCTTAATCTACAAAGCTTATGAACTCTATGAACTAAGGAAAAGGAAAGAAGTAAAATTTAGGAAAAAAAGAAAATGGCAGACATAACATGTCTCTCTATAATAACCATAAACATTAATGGACTCAATTCACCATTCAAAAGAAAAAGAACTGCAAAGTGCATCAGAAAACAAGATTCATCCATTTGTTGTCTCCAAGAGACCCATCCCACAGCCAAAGATAAAAACAAACTCCAAGTGAAGGGATGGAGGAAGATCTACCATGCAAATGCTCCCAGCAAGAAGGCATGGGTCACCATTTTGATATCTGACAGCATAGACTTCATTAAAATCTCATTAAAAGACAAAGAAGGTCATTACATATTAATACAGGGTACAATACTTGAAGAGGACATCACAACCATCAATTTATATTCACCAAAAAAATGGAGCATCTAAATACATTAAACAAATACTCTCAGACCTACAGAATATGATAGACCCAAATACAACAGTAGTGGGAGACTTTACTACCCCACTCTCACCAAAGGACAGGTCAACCAACCAGAGGATTACCAAAGAAGCCTTTGAACTCAGTGACACCATATCTCAAACGGACTTAACAGACATCTACAGAGTTTTCCACCCAACCACAACCCAGTACACATTCTTCTCAGCAGCCCATGGAACTTTCTCTGAGATGGAACATATAGTTCACACAAGGAATTTAAGCACATACAAGAAGATTGACATAATCCCTTCTGCTCTATCTGACCATAGTGGAATCAAACTAGTTCTCAACAATAAAGCATAGTGCAGAAATTACTCAAATATGTGGAAGTTGAACAGCAGGCTACTGAATAACACCTGGATCACAGAACAAATTAAGAAATGAATAAATTCCTACAACTGAATGAAAATGAAAATGCATCACAATGGAACCTCTGGAACACAGCAAAAACAATCCTGAGGGGCAAGCAAGTTCATTGCTCTGAGTGTACACATCAAGAAAACAGAAACAGCTCAAGTAAATAATCTCATGATGCAATAAAACTTCTAGAAAAGTGAGAAAAAATTGAGCCTAAAGTTAGTAGACAGAGGAAGATAACAAAATAAGGGCTGAAATTAATGAGAGAGATTTAAAAAAGTATAAATAAAATTAATAAAATGAAAAGCTGTGTTTTTGAAAAAAAAACTGATAAAATTGACAGCCCTCTTGCAAGATTAACAGCAAAAAAAAAGAAGAGAGGAGGTGTTATAATTGTTTATGTTCTCTTATTCTTCTATTTTCTTTCCTTGGACAACTCATCTACTCAATGGCTTCTACCATTAAGTTTTCATTAACTCCTCCCACATTGTTTCTATTCCATAGTTCTTCTTAAAGCTCAACATTAATCTTTCACCTCACTGCTGGGTATTTCTACCAGATGCTTCTCATTATGACTCCTACATGACTACATGCAAATTCTCCACCAAACTGCTTTAAAAACAAATTCCACATGGGATGAGTGGAACCAAAATCTGCCGAGGTGATAAAATCAGAAATGCAGGATGTTCGGAATCCAGTGATAATTTCACTTTTTCATTCTTGCTTCCTATACACATGTAAAGGTGGATTTATCCTTCCTGAATACTTCTTTATTACTTGTTTAGTTCAGGTTTCATCTTGATTTTCCTAAAGAGGCCCCCTGCTCTCAGTCCTGCTAGTTATTTTCACACTCTCCTTACACTGCTTCCATGATTCCTCTTTTTTTTTTTTTGTCAGTCGTGGGCCTGAGCTCTGGGCCTGGGCACTGTCCCTCAGCTCTACCACTTGATCCACAGCACCACCACTTCTGGCTTTTTCTGCTTCTGTGGTGCTGAGGAATTGAACCCAGGGCCTAATGCATGCAAGGCAAATACTCTACCACTGAGCCACCTTCCCAGCCCCCATGACTCCTCTTTTGAGGGGGATGTGTATATGTATGTGTATGTGTGTATGGGTGTCCATGCGGGTGTGTCTGGGTGCACTAATACTAAAGCAGATTTGAAGTGGCAGAAGAATCAATAAGTCTTAAGAAAGGCCAAGAGAGCTCATGTAATATGAAGAACAGAAAGGAAAAAGAATGAAGAATTCCAAACAAATCTTCATAAACTAGTGGAAGGCCATTAGATACATAGCTTACATGCAATGATAGGTACAAATGGAGAAGATAAAGAAACAACATTGAGCAGAAATATTTTAAGTAAATAATGGTCAAAATCTCACCAAAATTGGTGTAAACTTTACATATTTAACATGGTTAGCAACTGTAAGTTTGATTAGATAATATTGAACCATACCCAAGTAAAAACATTTTAGAAGTCCAAAGTGAAATCTTGGAATTAGAAAGAGAAAAATGACTCATCATATACAACAAAAACTTGATAAGATTCACAGCTGTCTCTACTGTATACCATAGAAGCCAGAAGGCCCTGTGAAGAAGTATTTCCAGTGCCGAAGGGAAAAGGTGGTGAACTAGTGATTGATAACAACAAAACCATTTTTTTTTGGGTCCGGTTGGGGGGCCTGAACTCTGGGCCTGGGCGCTGTCCCTCAGCTCTTCAGCTCAAGGCTAGCGCTCTACCACTTGAGCCACAGCACCCCTTCCGGCTTTTTTCTTTTTGCTTATGTGGTGCTGAGGAATTGAACCCAGGGCCTCAGGCATGCAAGGCAAGTGCTCTACCACTGAGCCACCTTCCCAGCCCAACAAAACCATTTTTTAAAAATGAGAAATTAAATCATTCCCAGATGAAAGCCTGGGAAGTCTTCTCTGAATAAATGCTATAGTAAATCCTTTAGAATTAAAAAGAAACAACACCAGAGAGCAACCTGCATATGTGAAAGAAAAGCTAGAACACTGGCAAAGATAATTACATAGGTAAATGTTTAAAGAAAGATATTTTTTTTAATTTAATTTAATTTTATTTGTGAACATACTGTACAGAGGAGTTACAGTTACATGGGCAGGATAATGCGTACATTTCTTAAAGAAAGATATTTTTTGAAATCGTACTTAAACAATGAACGAATTAATTTAAAAACTGTGATGATATGTCCAAGTATAAAGATGCAACTGTGTAATAAGAACAGAAATGACAGGGAAGAAAGGGATTATTCTAATGAAATTTCTACATATTATTGAAATAATGTTGATATTAATCTAACTTGATTAAGCTAAGGTTCCATGTTGTACACATGAGTGGGTAAAGAAAATGCAGTATATATACATACACACAAACATACTCAAAGGAGTTTTATTCAGTCTTAAAGAAGGATGAATTGACATCATTCACAAGAAAATGGATGGAACTTGAAATAATCATGTTAAGAAATAAGTTAGACTCAGAAAGGTAAATATTACATGTTTTATATGGTAATCTTGAGTTTTAAACATTTTTTTGGAATTTATGTATTACTACCAGCATGTGGGTGTGTGCGCGCACGTGCTCACACACCACACACACACACACACACACACACACACACACACACACACACATTTATTTATTTATTTATTGAAGAATAGCTATTGTAGTAGAGGGGACACTGTTTGTGAAAAGGAAGGGAGCCAGTGAGGGGAGGAGGAATTAGAGAGGATAATGAAGGTTAATGTGATTTGATCAAAGTACATTATATACATACATGAAGTCACGATGAAAGCCATTAAAAGTATAACATGGATTTATGTTATAATCTCTAGAGCAGCTACGATGAAAAATAGTTTAAAAACCACAGTTGTTAAAAAGGTATTTAAGTGGCATATTGAAAAATATAACACTACAAAAGTGATAATGAGGGAGCAGAGGGACAAAAGACACACAAGACATGTAGAATATTAAGCTAGGTTTGGTGCTATATGCCTGAAATGCCAGCATTTTGGATGCCAGGGTAGGAGGATTTGAAATTTGAGGCCAGCCTGGACTACATCGGAAAACTCTTATGTTAAACAACCAAGAAAAAAAATAAAGATGTATTTGTTGACTTATCTATAGGTTCTGGAGTTTGAATTCAGAGTGTTGCATTTTCTAGATAAGCTCTCTACTATGTGAGCTGTATTTCCAATCTTTTTGCTTTAGTTACTTTTTGGATAGGTTTGTGCTTTTTAAAAAAATTTATGTTTGCTAAATTTATTTTCACTTGTTTGGTTAATCAACACTTTCCATGTTATTTTTTATTTTTATTATTGGCAAGGTGATGTACAGAGGGGTTACAGTTATACACGTAAGGTACTAAGTACATTTCTTGTCAAATTTTTTACCCCTTCCCTCATTATTCTCCTACTTTCCCTACCCCCCAATCCCCTCCCAAGTTGTACAGATCATTTCCAACATATTGTCTTGTGTATATCTCTGTTGCATTGGTTCCCCCCTAGTCCTTTGTCTCACCATTCTGTTGTTCCCCTTCCCTTCCTTAATTCAGATAAATGTATATACAATGCCAGGGTACCAAAATCAAATACAGTGACAACAAGGGATATACTATAGGGGGAAGAACATACAAAAGAAGCAAGAAATCACATAGTACATTAAAAACAACAACCACCACAATAACAACAACTACAAAAAAACCCCTCTTGTGTCCATGTCTTTAAGGTTGTGCTTTTCACTTAGACTAGCTTCAAATTGTGATCCTCTACCTATGCTTACTGATAGCTGGGATAACAGATATGCCCCACTATGCTTTAAACAGTCATACTAATTTTTCTTTTTGCCCAGGCTTACCTCAAGCTACTGTTCTGCTATTTCTCCCTCCCAAGTAGCTGAAGTTAGAGACCCAAGTTACCATACCTGGTGTAAGAGGTACACTTTAGATTAAAAACTCAAATAAATTGAAAGTGAAGTTATTATAAAACATAAAATGAAAACCAAAAATGAAAGAGAACTGAAATGGCTGCATGGCTACATGATTATCAGACTGAATATAGTTTAGGATGAAAATAAATGTTATTTAAGACATAAATCACCTATTATGATAAACTTTCCAATCTGTTCATAAAATACTATACATATATATGTAACAATAGAGTCCAAAACACATAACACAAAAATTGACAAAAGAGATGGACACTAGGGACTCACACTTGTGAGTCTACTAGCTACTCAGGAGGCTGAGATCTGAAGAGTGAGGTTCAAAGTCAGCTCAGGCAGGAAAGTTCATGAGACTCTTATGTCCAATTAACCACCAAAAAGCCAGAAGTAGAGGTTCAAGTGATAGAGCACCATCCTTGAGTGAAAAGCTAAGGGACAGCTCCTTTTTTTTTTTTTTTGTGCTGAGTCCAAGCCTCAGTACTGGCACATACAAAAAATTGACAAGAGACTAGCAGTTGGAGACTTCAACACTGGACTCCCAATAATAGATAACACAATTTGACAGAAAATCAGCAAGGAGATAAAGATTTGAAAAACACTACAAACATACAGAGCTACTGGACATCTACACATCACTCTGTTGAGCAAAATAAAATTTTCACCTTTTTTACGGGCACATGGAATATCTTTGAGATAGACAACATATAAAGTCATGAAATGAGTCTGAATAAACTTAAAATGACTGAAATTATACAAGCAACTTCCTGTAATCACAATGAAAATAGATTGGAAATAGTTAACACCAGAAAAGTGAAAAACCTTCAAGTAATTAGAAATTAAATGATGCATTTCTATAATTGCATTTCTAAAATTGCAATTATGAGCAAATTATAAAATACTTTGAATAGAATATAGATGAAAGCCCAGACTATTAAAGTTTATGGGATGTAGTTAAAGTAGTAGCCACAGAAAAATGAATAGTGTTTACACACTAATATTAGACAAAGAAATGTTCTCAATAAAATTTAAGCTATCAACTTAACAATCATGAGAATGAAGACAATTTAAATTCAATGAAAGCAGAAGGAAGAATATGATAACTATCAGAATAGAAAAATATGAAACAAACAAAACTTATTGTTTTGAACAAAAGTTGGTTCTTTGAAAAATATCAAAGAAGAAAATAAAAGCTGATGACCAAAATCAGAAATGAACAAAAGCAAAATAATCAACTTGTCAAAAATTAAAAATATTAAAATTAAATCTAAATTCAATAACTTAAAAGGAAAAAATTCTAGAAATAGGCAAAATTTCTAAAGAAACAAAGGAAAATGTGAAAAGAACTGTAACAATGAAATTAAATTTGTGATTAAGAACTCTTCAAACAAAAAAAAACCCGTCTCAGATCTTCTGCCATATTTATAGGAGAAATAACACTAACACTCCACAAACTCTTCCAGAAAAGACAGGAGGAAGAAATACTTCCAAACTTAATCCTTGGGGCTAGTATTATCCTTACACGAGCCAGACAAAGATTCTGCTGAGGTAGAAGGCTACAGAAAATAGACCTCATCAACAAGACACTAAACTGTACAAAACAATAGCATAATGCATTTGACAAGATATAAAAAAGATTTTATGTGATGATCAACTCAGATTGTTTCAGGAATGCAAGGTTGGTTTAAAGTCTAAAAAATTAGTATATGTTAATGGAAGGACCAAAGAAACATGATAATATCAATAAAGTAGACAAATATCTGACAAGATCTAACAAAGACCCAAAAATAAATCTGGAAAAGAATGAACCACTTCAATCTGATAAAAGAAATCTGTAATAAACCAGCAGGTAATACTGCATTTAATGATGAAAGCCTAAAGACTCTTCCTCCTAAGACTGGGAGGAAAGGAG